TCCTTCCTTCCTTCCTTCCTTCCTTCCTTCCTTCCTTCCTTCCTTCCTTCCTTCCTCCTCTTTCCTCCCTCCCTCCCTCCCTGACAGAAATTCCAGCCGGATCTGGCAGCCGGGAGCAGCAACACAGCCGCCACCTTCGTGCCCAACCTCAACGCCATCACCACCAGCCACAGCCTGCAGTGGATGGTGCAGCCTTCCCTGATGGGCGCCTCTTCGGGACTTCCTCCTTTCCCGCGGCCTTATCGCTGCCCGCACTACGCAGCCGGCATCCGTCCTGGCGTGATTCGCACCATGGGCCCGGGCTCAGTGCCTCGGAGGCGTCACTCGGAGCACGTGAGTGTTGGGGGGGGGAAAGAAAACTCCGCAACAACATCAGGCTAATATTTTATCTGCCCGCTGGTTTGTTTTCATTCTGCTTTCTGTATTTTTATAAATAACTCGAGGACTAGAACAAGAATGAAGGAGAAACTTCCTGACAGTGAGAACAATTAACCAGTGGAACAGCCTGCCTCCAGAAGCGGTGAATGCTCCAACACTGGAAGTTTTTAAGAAGAGACTGGACAGCCATTTGTCCGAAATGGTACTATAGGGTTTCCTGCCTGAGCAGGGGGTTGGACTAGATGACCTCCAAGGTCCCTTCCAACTTTATTGTTATTATTATTATTAATTCATGGCGGAGTTGACGTCCTCACAGCTCAACAGTTGCCAGATTTGAAAAAACTCTCGTCGCAGTTCAGTTTGCACCCCTGCCTGTGTCAAATACGAGCAGTCCTCGAACTTACAGCCGTTTGTTTAGTGACCATTCAAACTTACAACAGCACTGAAAAAAGGGTTTTTCATCCTTATGACAATTGCAGCATCGAAATTTCATCACTTGGCAGCCGACCCACATTTATGACGGTCGCCGTGTCCCGGGGTCACGTGATCTCCTTTTGCGACTCCCTTGGCGAGCCAAGCCAATGGGGAAGCCGGATTGACTTAACGACGGTGTTCCTAGCTTTATAACCGCAAGCGATTTACTTAACAACCGTGGCAGGGAAGGTTGTAAAATGGGGCAAAAATTCACTGAACAGCGGTCTCGCTTAGCCACAAGAAATTTTGGCGTCAGTTGTGGTCGTAAGTCGAGGACTACCTGTCATTTGAAAAAAGAAAAAGCTTGGAGCCCGTTTTGGAGGGGAAAAAAAAGTGGAAACCCTCAAAACTGGAAGAAAAAAAAAAAAACAGGTTATCTTGGATTGTCCTGGTATTTTGCGCCCCCTCCTGGCCATGAGGTGACATAATCATTCTGATAACGGGAATAACAGAGCTAGAAGGGACCTTGGAGGTCATCTAGTCCAACCCACTGCTCAGGCAGGAAGCCCTATACCGTTTCAGACAAAATGGCTGTCCAATCTAGGATCTACGGATCTAGGATCTATAGAGATGGGTCCACCCCTCTCACTTGGTGCTCTGATTTGATCCTGCTTCTCCACAAATTCAGGCTGGAGAGTGGGGATGATGGGAGATGTATTCCAATAATCCCAAAAGTGAAAAAAAATACCCAAAATCACATTCATCAACCGCTTTTTAACACACCGCCATCTTGCTTTTACGGTCTGGAGGTTCAATCCAGACCGTAAGAATCGGTCTGGTTTGAAAAACCAGATTTTGCACCGCTAAGCAAGGCGGTGGCAAAGTGAGTCGCGCCCAATTCTATGACTTTTTTTCCCCCCAACATTGTTAAGCGAATCACACGGTTGTAAAGTGAACCTGGCTTCCCCATTGACCTTGTTGGTCAGATCGAAAAAGGGGATCACGTGACATTTGTTAGGTGGGTTTTGCCTCATTTTATGACCTCTCCTGCCACAGTTGTTAAGTGGAACCTTGCAGCTGTTAAGTTAGGAACACTGTCGTTAAGTGAATCTGGCTTCCCCATTGATTTTGCTTGTCAGAAGGTCGCAAAAGGGGATCACACAGCGACCGTCGTAAATACGAGTCAGTTGCCAAACGTCTGAATTTTGATCACCTGACCCTGGGGAGGCTGCAACGGTCGTAAGTGTGAAAAATGGTCATAAGCCACTTTTTTCACTGCTGTTGTAACTCCGAACAGTCACTAAGTGAATCATAAGTCGAGAATTAACTTTATCTTGGTATCTTGGGTGTGTGATTGTGTTGCTGCCTGTTTGCAGAGCTTCCCCAAGTCCTTCTGAAGCAGCGCAATTGCACGCGGGGTTGTGTTACACACTGTGCTGCTCCAGAGACGGTTGCTTCGTGTTGTGTAGTTGTGATTCCAGACTCTCGTTTGCAGCTTAGCCCGGAGGAGGAAGAGCGACGGCGTTTGCGGAGGGAACGGAACAAGCTGGCGGCCGCCAAATGCCGCAACCGGCGCAAAGAGCTGACCGACACGTTGCAAGCGGTGCGTTCAAGACAAGCGGGATATTTTAATTGCCTTAGGCGAGGGGGGAGGGGGTCAGACTGGATGACCTCTGAGGTCCCTTCCAGGTCTTCCAGGTCTTGCAGGCTGAGCTTGCAAAGGATGGACAGGGTCCTGCAAAAGAATAGAATAGAATAGAATAGAATAGAATAGAATAGAATAGAATAGAATAGAATAGAATAGAATAGAATTATGGGATAGAATAGAATAGAATAAAATAGAAAAAGCTGGAAGGGACCTTGGAGGTCTTCTAGTCCAGCCTGCTGTCCAAGGCAGGAGACTTTACAGCAAGGGGTCTGCCAGAATTCCCCAGCCAACATGGCTGCCTGGGGAATTCTGGGAGTTGAAGTCCACCCATCTTAAAAGGGGCAACTTCGGAGAACCCCCCCCCAGCTTATACAAGGCAGTCCTCGACTTACGACAAATCCACCAAGCCCCAAATTTCTGTCGCTAAACGAAACATTTGCTAAGCAAATTTTGCCCTATTTTACGACCTTTCCTGCCACCGTCGCTAAATGAATCGCTGCGGTTGTTAAGTTAGTCACATGGCTTCCCCCGCTGACTTTGCTTGTCCGAAGGTCGCCAAAGGGGATCACGGGACCCCGGCACACACTGCGACCGTCATAAATAGGAGTCAGTTGCCAAAGCGTCTGAATTTTGATCCCGGGACCACGGAGGACGCTGCAACGGTCACAAGGGTGCGACATGGCTCTGAGTCCCTTTTTTCAGGGCCCTTGTAAATTACGACAGTTCGTCGTAAGTCGAGGACTACCTATATATTCCGGTCAACTAGTTTTCCGGTCCGTTTGGGGAAAACCTCCTAGCAAGGGAGCCCCCAAACATCTGAAGAATGGGATTCCTACCCTCCCCCTGGTCTAAATCCCTTCTGTTATTCATTCCCCCCCCCCCGCCAGGAAACGGATCAATTGGAAACCGAGCAGTCGG